CAGATATAGAATTCCTGACTATGGAATACATTCCCAGAATTATTAACAAACATATAAAATGCACCAATTTATCTTGGACCAAGACTGGGAATGTTTTTCCAAGAGGATACTCTGCATATAGTTAGGGGCACTTAGTGGAATTAATGGTGAGCCCACCTCAAGCTGCTTCATTAGTAGAAACCTTGACAGGGAGCAAGGCTAGAAAGGACACTGAGTTCATATACTGACTATTCTGGATAAGCTGACTTATGAGAATATGGGAGGTGGCTTTGAAGGACTCCTTGGAACTTGTGAGCCATAACAATAATGGTGAAGCCTTGAGAGAAAGTAAAGTTATAAATGGAATTGATCAAGAACAAAACTTTGGTAAAATCTGGCTTAAGGGTGTCTGGAAGGTGCCAAGAGACAGAAAAAGAGAAGTAGAATGGTCAAAAAAAGCAGAAGAGCAGACTAGAGTGGTTACATAAGAGAGTATTTCCAGGATAGTGACCCATGGTATTAATAATATCTTAAAGAAGCTGAAGAGCAAGAGAAATGAAGAAGCAAGTGAAAATAGTCACTGTATCCACCATGGCCTATAGGGTGTGTGGTGGGCTCATGGTATCAGTCTCATTCATGGCATTTTTCTGAGTTTTTGAAATCAGTTTTCCTAAGTCATAGTGTGCATTGCAAAATCATACTCTAGGTTTCATTCCAACTATCCATGTGCTAACCGTAGTCAACTTTCTGAAGAACTATCTGCCTTTGAACAATTCAAGGGTTTGTTGAGTACCAACATTTGCCTCTCTTTGATTTTCTATCCCTCCTCTGTTCAAAGGCAGTGGTATCCCTCTGATTTCTCCTCAGGACCTTTTTTATCTCAGTAGGTAGTCTTCCAAGTTCTGAAAGAATGTTTTCCAATCACTCTCCTCTGATTAAAACATACCTATCCTGTGCCCTGTAGGCTTGTAAACCAACATTTATTCAGCATCTAAGGTGAATGGATTTGAAGGTAAAGGTCTATGGTTTGTCCTTAGGAGACGTTCACAATAGATGAGTGACACGTTCATAAATAAGTGTCATATAAGGCAGAGTGATGTCCTCTGAGAGCAGAAAAACAGAGGTGATTTAATTCCAAGAACAAAAAATTTATCTGCTAAAAGCCAATCTGATAAACTTATTTGAGCTGATAAACTTATTTGATGGCTGAAAAGTCAATGTGAGGATGACATTTACCTTTAACTAGTCTTTTTAGTTTTAATTTAAGGTACTAAATAAACTGATAATTAGGGCATTATACTGAAGGGAATTTTTGGTTAAGGGCAACTTGTCTAGAATTTCTTTAACAAATCAATTTCTTTGGCGGCCATAGGGCTAGTGTTTTGTTTTGTTTTTAACATAAGGCTAGTCTTTTTTTTTCTTATTTGTGAGTCCATGCTATCCTTAATTTCCTTTCTTTACCATTTCTTCTTGCTTCTGCTGCTTGTGGTTATGAGCTCAGAGTAGATGTTTAAATCAGATGTGCTGTAATCACCTGAATTTGCCTAAATTTCTTATCAACTGCTCTTCTTGTGAATTATTATTTTCTGTTGTTTGTGCCCTTTGTTCTTTGGCCTTTGTAAGGCCAAGATGCCTTAACATTCCCCTCAGCCTGACTAAACTTCAGACAGGCTTTTTCCTGACCCAAGGCCTCTGACCTCCTTTCCTTAGAGCATTTATTTTAGAAAACTTTTCATTGCAAATTCTTTGTCTGCTCCATTGCGAAGTAATCTCCCAGCCTCTTGCCAGTTTTACAGCCCAGGAATATCTTTCTTAAGGACATGGGAGCCAAACCTTTGAAATGCAATCATTGAAGGAGATCTCTGATTCTCTTCTGGAGGGTAGAAGCCTAACTTTCTAATTGGGACAATTAGCAAACACAATTGACCACCTTCCCCACTACTAATCTTCAGGACTCTTGCAATAGCTCACCCCAGTACTTAAAAGCTCTTCCACGGGGGCGCCTGGGTGGCTCAGTCGTTAAGCATCTGCCTTTGGCTCAGGTCCTGGGATAGAGCCCCGAATTGGCTCCCTGCTCCGCGGGAAGCCTGCTTCTCTCCGTCCCACTCCCCCTGCCTATGCTTCCTCTCACACTGTGTCTCTCTCTGTCAAATAAATAAAAACTCTTCTAGGGAGTTGAATTCAATCTCTTTTCTCTTGCAGTAAGGTCCTGACTGCATTGCAATGATCTTGAATAAAGTCTTCCCTGCCTTAACTCCTTCATGTGCAATTTTTCTTTGGCATTTGTAATTTCCAAAACAAAGACTCTCCTTGGCACTTTCTTTTGCTGTTTAAAAAAATTATTTTTAGAAAATACTTAGCTGACCGGATTTACAATTTCTTCTTTCCTTTTTAGCTCCCTCACAGATTCCTGGGGGAACTTACTTTCCAAGGCCTGATGTCAGTCTTCCCTGATAACAGTTTGTCTTTTTTTTTTTTTTTTGGTGTCTTGCTGATAGAGCTGCTGGGGTAACCCATATATTTTTCAACTATTTAACACCTTCTCAAGGAGATCACCTCTCTCTTTTGTATGACAGCCTACCTATCAACATCAATTCTTCCTTTGAAATCAGCCAGTTGTCTTATCTGGCAGAATCCCACTTACTGTGGACATGTCCTACTTAGTGTCAATCTAAATAGGATGCTCACGAAAGCATTGTTAAGGTACGATGTGTTTTCCCATTTTTGGTCAACATCTGAGTCTATTATTTAGCATACCCAAGAAAGAAAGACACACATTTGTGTGGCTTGCTTAACTCTTACGATCACTAATCAGAAGAACTCATAAAATGATTCAGTAAAGTGCATGACATCCCGGAGAAGTTTCTATGAGAAGATAAAGTTACCATTTGGGAAATGGATGCACAATTTTCCTATGTCTCTTTCGTTTGAAAAATTTAGAGCTTTTCTGTTTCTGTGGCTATAAAACTTAGGTCAATCATCCTTTGACATTTGTGACATCCATATTTGTCTGTGCCAAGGACTTCACCAGGTTTAGAAGGAAGGGACAGTGTACTTAAATTTGGGTAAGTATTTACAAAATCATGAAATAAGCACACTTTTATAATTCTTGCAGTGTGTTGGCTGAAACATCTCTAATGTAACAGTGATAAACTCAAAGACTTCCCCCCAAGACTTTACTGCTTTGTTAGGTTAAATATTAACATATTTTTCTTTTTCTGACAAAGCACTGGCCCATGATGTTTGGGGCTCCCGACTTTCAGTCTGAGAATCTATGGTATGGGAGGACACCCATGCTGGCCTGCGTTTTGTGGACACAGGCAGAGGTCATTAGGTTCCTTCCTTGGTTACATTTGTATCAACAAAGGGCACCATTCCAGGTGGCTAGCCATGCCAGAAGTGAAGATAACAGGACCAAACGTGGCCGAGAAAATTGGAAGGTCATGGCTGCAACTCTCTCAGGAGCTACAGACGGGTCTCTGAAAGTGGAAAAAGCAAGGAGCATGATTGAGGTTCCTCACATCAATGTCAATTTTCTTTCCTTTTTGTTAGCTCTAACGCTGTCTTGGTGCCTCCAGATTATTGAGAAATGATAAAGAAAAATGTGAATCTTATTATCTGGGGACTTCCTTTATCTGCTCCCAACCCTCCTTCTTACCAAATCAGTTCCAGTCTTCAGTAGAAACCTAATTTTGTCTACTGCTTTCTCAGAGAGGAGGCTAACTACTCACTTCTGCTTATCCTTATTCCTTATGCAAGGAAGGAGAGATAAAAAGACAATAAGAGGAGTATATTTTTACATTGAATTTGAGGTGTGTGCCCCCCACTACAACAAGTTCTTCTTCTTTATGAATAAGAAACAATGGTTTGTGGGGCACCTGGGTGGCTCAGTTGGTTAAGTGTCAGACTCTTGATTTCAGCTCAGGTCATGATCTCAGGGTCGTGAGACTGAGCCCCAAGTTGGGCTCTGCACTGAGCGTGGAGCCTGCTTAAGTTTCTCTCTCCCTCTCCCTCTGCCCCACCACCCTTGCTGGTGCATGCTCTACTTCTCTCTTTAAAAAAAAAAAAAAGAAAGAAACTATGGTCTGTAATGGAGACACTACCAGCCAATTACTTACATGGCAACCAGGCGTTTCCATAAATCAATAACCTTTATTTAATGGATTCTCCACTGAGGTAAGTATAGTTTTGGTTTGGTCTCCCTCATGTAGCAGGTTACCTCTAAGCTCTATTTTTTTTTTTTTTTTAAGATTTATTTATTTATTTTACAGAGAGAGCATGCGTGTGAGTAGGGGGGAGGGGCAGAGGGAGAAGGAGAGAGAGAGAGAATTTCAAGCTGTCTCCCCATCTAGTGTGGAACCTGACTCCGGGCTCAGTCCTAGGACCCTAAGATCATGACCTGAGCCGAAACCAAGGGTCCGATGCTTAACTGACTGAGCCACACAGCCGCCCCACCTCCAAACTCTTTTTAACATTATTTTCCTTTTCACTTTTTAGGAACTGGTTTGTGGGACAGACTCTTCCCCTTTCCATAAAGTCCAAATGACAGTGTATAGTTTGGTCTGGTGATCATGCCTGATTCTTCTTTCCCACAGGAACATATGATGTCATTTTGCAGTTAAAACATTCAATAATTCATTTCACAAACTTTTATCTAGTGCCTATAATATGCCAGACACAGTGATATTGTGGGGACATGAACACAGATTTTAAAATTTAGTGGACCATATTTGTGTCAACACTAGTGTTGACTTGATAGTGTCCATGTATATATGTATACATTTGGCTCTGCAAAACTTTTTCTTTCATAGAAAATATACAGTCTAGTAACAAATTGTGATGATTCGCTAATTTCACTCTTACCTAATAGGAAGCAAAATTGCCCAAATGTACATTTTATACAAGGGATTTAGGATTTTAAGGAAAAGCACAAATGCCATAAGGATTAAGTGGTTATTTCCAGTGTTTCCATGAGTGTTCAATGGAAACGATAGGGTGTTCCTTAAAAGTTCTATACTTACTCATCTCTGCAAACAGCTGTCTTCTTTCTGCCATGGTATTTCCTCTTTTCCCACTATCTTCAATCATTCTAGGAGACAAAATGGTTACAGTGTTACTACCCTCATGCTAATGAGGCAAAGAGCCATTTCTATGTAAACACACTTGCTGTAGTGATGCCACAGAGACAAACTATTTAAAACTGAGTATTTAAGAAGTGTAGCTTTACTTTCACTAATTTAAATCACCATACATATTTTTTCCATACACAATGCTGTTGCAATTGTTAGAGGAGGTATAAAATTTTTATTTTCTAACATAAAAATAACTACAATAGCAGATGACCTTGTGCCAAACTGAATCCAACCATCCACCATCTGTTAGGTGGTTCATTTCCTATATAGTTTCTCTTTCAATTTGGGGGGAATACCTATGAAGAATATAGAGCAGATATTACAGATTCCATTCAAGAAATGATGATATTGAGAATCTCATGAGGTTTAGTAAAGTGAATGGTGAAAACATTTGGACTCCAAGACCAGTTTGCCTTCCACCATATTCTGCTGCAGGTTGTCCCTGTGCACCCCAAACCCTAGTTTGGATGCAGGTTATTTTCTAAATATTGATCTCTAAGTTGAGTGTTTGGAACCTGCAACAGTTTTTCTATGCATAATAATTTCATGCAAGGTGGTTAGGTTCACATCTCTCTGCTTAACCATACTACTGTCTGCAGTAATCATTTAAAAAGTGCTATGAAAATGCCAACAGATAAAACAGAGAATCAAAAAATGTTTAAAAAAATTAAAATTTGACTTGAGGAGAAAGAAGAAATGAGAAAGTTAATGGATATGTTGTTTAGTTTGATAGAGGAATTTGGGGGAAATATTAAGGGTTTTACAGGTTGCTGGAGTTGATTTTTTATTGTATCTAATTAAGCTTTTGAAAAACTTAAGTTTCCTCTCTCATACATGCAAATACATATACACATATACCACCCTGTTCTGATTCTCAGGGGCAATAAACAGAAGGCATAGCTGATCTTTTTGCCTGTCTTTCAATGGACCCTGCTCTTTCTCAAATATGGTTCTCTGTCTGTGCTATTTTTTGGTCTGGATCCCCTGCTCCCTATGCCTGGCTAACTTGCAATAACTTTTCAGCTCTTAGTTTAGGTGGATCTTCCTCTGAAATCCTCCCTAATTCTATAATTGTCTGGGTTTGGTGCCTTTCCTCTGGCCTCCACAGCCCACTATCCCTTTTTCTCAATGCTGAAAATTCACTTAACAAATCTTTATTGAGTGCCTTCTATATCCAGGAACCAAATTAAGTTCTAGGTATACAACAATGATCAAGTCACAGTTCCTACCCCCAAGGTGCTTATACTCTAGTCAGGCAGATAAAAAGCATAGAAGCAATGAAACCACTAGGAAGTAATTATAGCCATAGTAGTGGAAAGATATGTGAGTGTGAGAGACATTGACTACCTGAGGGTAAATTTAACAGAACTGGGTTGCAGAAGACAGGTCAAAAGATAATGGAGCTGTGTACAAAATAACTCACCTAAGGGTAAAAGAAAATATTGGTGAAAACCAATGTGATGCCAGTTATTCTGGTCAAAGAGCCTCACCAGTTGTTTCTACGAGTGAAGGATGATTTGCCTACTGACAGGAAGGGAAAGAAGGGCATGGAACAGCTTTGGTTTACAGAGTTTAGGGAAGAGTGTGTTCCCATTCACCATGGGTGATGACGTACCCAGGGTCTGGCCTAAATAATAACTGGAAAAGAATAGGGTTGTTAATGAAGTGTCTTCAATTTGGTAACAATTCAGTGCTGAACACAGTCAAGTACTTTCTTTTTATGATTTTAAATATGCAGGTATGGTTAGTATATAGAGATCACACCCTTCCTGATTCACAGAACCCTATCTCCTTTCCTCCAGAGGAAGTGGGTAGATAATAATCTGACATTCACAAAATAGTCTGGATACAGCTTCCAATTTTTATTTCAAGAGCTTAGAAGTAATGTTGAAGCAATAGAGAGACAGAGGATAGAACCAGTGATATGTTCCTGCATCTGTCTGTATGTTGGAATGAGATGAAAAGAACTGCTAAAAATAAATCACAAAGGATGGCAAGCTGGAAAGCTCTGATTGAAAATGTCAGGGAAGGAAAGACTGGCCTCCAAACCCACAGCCCTTACTGCCTGTACCCCTCAATTGGTACCGTTTGTGACATCTCTTTTCTAGTTAACTTTCTGTATGTTTCTCTGTAAGGTTTTTGAGGGCGGTGACTTCAAACATTTTAAATTCTTCACAGTGCCTAGCAAAATCCAATCAGTAAATGATATGTCCAGTTAGTATTTATTGAAAAAAAAAATGAATGAAACAAAAAAAAATAGAGGAAGAACAATAAGAGCTAAGTTTGTTCTCCACAAAATAGACTTTTAATGATATTTCCCAAAACCGATTCACAGAAGAGTTCAATTCAGATTGCACTAGTTTCAGAAATTAATTATTTGAAATGAAGGAGACTAATTTATATCTCTTATAATCTAGGACCATACATTTTAAAGCAAAATTTTGTCTTATGAAACAGAAGCTAAAATAGATGCAAACTACATTGATGTCACCGTTTGGTCTATTCATCATCATTTTGTGATTAATTAACTCATGAAAGAACCATAATTAGTTACATAACAGGAATTAATTCTCACTTCTAAGTAAAATGTGTACCTTATAAGGACAAGAAGGAAAAACTCAGTCGTGTGAAATAATAAAAAGCATGGAATTTAATGATAAATATAAAAGGAAAACAACACATTTCTCATTTCACCACTAAAGTTTCCTGGGAAGCAGCACTATTAGATAAAATTGAGAATACACATTTATTACCCGTTGATCACAGTCATAATAGTAAAAAAGGGAAGGCATGCTAGTTTACTGATTACATGGATTCAACAGAGGGACTGATGGACAGAGTCTGTTCATGAATTGAACAGGCAAGGAAGCACCATCATGGGCTCCTTAGTTTCCAATTTAACTCTGATCAGTGGGACTTGATATACATAATGCTTGACTTTCTTCTTAGCAAGAATGAAGAGCAAAACTTTCAGTAGCGGAAGGTGGGAGGGTTTTTGCAGAGAGAAATTTTGCTTCTGAAATTGTCACGAAGCTCTGCTTTTCATGAATTTCAGTATTACAACAGCTGCCCAAAGTCATATAGAGGAGATGAAGGGGAAAAGAGCCCATCTTTGACAATACTAATGTCACAAGGCGTGTGGCTCACCAACAGGCCTAATTTGGTGAGTTTCAGTTACTCCTTCATGTAGATAAGATGCTTGCAACCTTAGAATTTACCAGATTGCATAAATGTCAAAGTAGCAAAAGGAACTAACAGGTGATGAATAAGTGATGAGCCCCATTAAGTCATTTCCTTTACTAGGGTTCAGTCCCATGAATTATACAGGGTGTGCATTGTTTTCACTTATGAGAATCTACCCATTTCATTTACTTAAGAAATATTTATAAGGTAGCTATAATTTGTCAGATACTCTGCTAGTTTCTCAAGATCCAAAGATGAATAAGACATGATCCTTGCTTTTAAGAAGCTCACAGTTTAGAAGGAGAAACAAATTATTCCAAATGAGAATTGTATTTGGTGTAATATGTACAATAATAAAAATACATACTAAATATAGTAATTTACTTCTGGGAAATCTGAGGGAGGCATCGAGGGGTGACTCCGGAACAGAGTTTATAGGACAAACAAGAATTTTCCAGATGGAAATGAATGGAGGAAACGGTAATCAGAGTTAGAGGTAATCATGGAAAAATCATGGAGCTTTAACAAGAATATATGGGAACTGGGAATAATTCAGTATTGCTGAGTGCAAGTGTGAGTACAGATGCCAGAACAGGCATCAGATCTAGAAGGTCTATTCTCACATCTGGACAGTGTAGGGCTTTCCAGAAGATCAGATGCTACCGTGGTTAAGTAGGAAACTGATGTGTACAGATTTAGGTTTTGGCAAGGAGATTCCAGCATACTGAGTGGAGGAAAGATCGGGCAGGTAGGAGGGTAGGGGTGTGAGCACATGATTAAGGGAAGAGTTCAGTTTGCTGGAAACTTCTGTGATTCAGGAGCAAGAATATTATGTCTTATGCTAAAGGATTGATTTGAGATTCAGGGTGCATGCAATGGGACTTGGTGATTTGTGGTCTCCATGAAGAATGGTGGAGCAGGGCAACTCAGTCTTTGCTCTCCCACACCATGTCACACACTGGAGAAAGCAATCTGCTGCAGTAATGACTTCATAGAAAGTGAGCTCATCAAGTCACCTTCTTCCAGCATCGTCATGAAAAGGGGGCCACAAAATTGGATAGGGAGGGCTCCCGCTCTCTGCTGCTATTTGTGGGGGACAGATGAAATAACAGAGTAGAACAGTGAGGGAACCAGCAAGAAATAGAGAATAAATCAAAATACAGGGCACAGAGTGTTAGAAGAAATGTGAATTGTATTTTGGCATAGTGAGAATAAGTTCACATTGAAATATCACATTCTTGAGTTACTTCCTTCATGACACTTCTTTAATCCAACATCACCCATACTAAACACACATTTCTATGCCACATGACATAAGAGTTTTAAACGTAAAATCTTAAACTGATGGTGTCTTACATTTGTATAACTTTCTGAAGATTATAAAATGCTTCTCCTGTATAACCTTGTGAAGAATTTGGGGAGATATTATTATTCCCCAGTTATAGCTGAAGAACTTGAGACTCAGGCAGGTAAAAAAATATTCCCCCCCCCCAAAAAAAACATTTTCTGGAAGGGGAAGACATTTAATCCATTTTTTTTGGCTTTTAATTTTTAAATTCCTAGGCTGGGATGAATTCTAATCACCAGTAATCTTACTCCAGCTGCCACTGTTCAATACAAATTAAGATTTCCTGAAACTAGTAAGTGAAAAGAAGTTGCTAGAGCTTGGTGATTGACAGGCCAAAAGGAGGCGAAGGGGAAGGGTCCACAGCTCTCTCAAACTGCAGGAGAGATTCCTTTGTGTGCTTCTCCCTAACGGAATCCTCCTATACTA